ATATATGTATGTATGTATCAAAACTTCTTGCTTTAATGGAAAATTGGTAGATCAAACACAAGACCTCACCTACGAAGTTGGGGTCCTTGTGATGGTGTGAGATCTTGATAGAATTTTGATGTTAAAATGTTTTGTCGCAACAATGAGTTGTAGGTTGAGCACCATGTTCAAAGAAATATAGAACGAATCCAATTCAATTGTTTATTTTACAACTATCATATGTGCTTGGACACTTTAGTCAAATTCAAAATTGAGTGTAGAAAGATAAATGAATAGACAATGACAGTTTTTGGTGTATTTATAGTTGAAATGTAGGACATGAATGCGGAAACCGTAGTTAGAATTTTTCACCCTCACTAGCCACAAATGAGCTCATTACCCATGTTGCTTTTATTTTCCCTTCATGCACTTGTTTGAGGGTGGACAAAAGTCTCGAAAGAATCGAATGGTTTGGTTTCATTCGATTATTCATAGGTTAAGTGGAGTAATTGATATTAAAATCAAGAGCCAATAGGTTGGTTTGATTCCAGAACCAGAATTGAACCTCCTAATTTTTTATTTTATTTTTTATAATTGAACCCATCAAATTATTTCAATTTTTTTAATGAAAAATTCAGCCCATGCTAAAAGCCCAGACCTAACTCCATTTTTCTAAGTCTTCACATCACTGTCTACTGCCCAATTGCCAACTAAACCCCAAATTTAGACTGTGTTTGTCATTTTGCAAGATGTATCCTATCATTTTTAAATTGTTGTGTTGTTTGAAATATTAGGAAAATGGATATAGTTTGTTTAAAAAAAAAATAAAAAAACTTTAATTATGGTATGGTATGGAACAGAACTTCCATAAGTTGAACTGTTGAAACCAACAGTAATTGCAAGATACCCAATATCAAGTACTATGGGCGCTCAAAATAAAATATCGAGGACAGTGATGCTAAAAAAATAAAGATGAGGGATACATGTGCAAAAATGAATTCAGATCTGGCAACATTTCTAGAAATTAATTATTTTATTGTTACAAGAATTTGTATTGTGACATACACACTTACCAAAGGGGCCTTTCCTTCTATGAAGGAATTTGACAAATATTCATAGCATTAATTTAAGTTATTATGATGATCTTATAATTTAATTGGTCGACTATTACAGATCGGAGCACCACTGGTGATTACTGCCATCATCATTGCAGTATTGTCGACGGTAATAGTTAAGGATATGAGTCGGTAAAGAATAGTTCTAAAGAGTGCTTAATGAAAGACATATGAACCATCATTCTAAAATTTTAAAAGACGAGTGGAAATGGATTGCTCTCTAGATTGATTTCTAAAAGATTTTATTCACAATCTTGCTAGAATTTTCCAGGTAAATATATGTGCAAAGAACTCTAGAGAGTTAATCTTACCCTGTATAATCAAATTGATCTTCACCATTCATTCTAATGAGGTACATTTATATCTAGCTAATTCTAATGAGGTACATTTATACAAGACCAAGGACGCCTCCCAATCGTCCAATTTGAGTGAGCTTGAGTAGGTTGGTAATATTATTCATTAATAATTGTCAACGACAATGAGTTGAGATACATTGCTTGCAGTACAGTTGATAATTCGATCTGAATCATCGACATTTTTAAACAAGAACACCAACACAAATCACTGGGACAACAACTCAAAATACCACACTACAAACAAGAACACCAACACAAATCACCGAATGACAACAATTCAAAATACCACTGAAAGGAAAATAGAAACATAAGAAGAACAGATCATCTTCCAACAAATGGAAAATCTGAAAATATACTAGAGCACATAGAAGGCAAGAAATGCATAGAACCTAAAATCGT